TTGACGACGGTGAAGCCGTCGGCGTTCGCGTTATTAGCGGGGGTCGTTTCGACCTCCATGTCTGAGCCGCCGTCCGATTTTGAGTCGGGAACGACAGCGCAGAAGGGGGCCGAATTGGATTGCGCGGAAGGCGCGTTGAGTTCGATCGCGGCGGCGGAGGTCGACGCGACGGGCGTATTAATTGTCGCAGAGGGCGACACAATAACTGGTGCAGAGGGCACCGGAGATGGCGGCGAGACGGCAGCCGGTGAAGCCGGACTGTCGCTAGCAAATTCGACGGCTAGGCGCCGTTCCTTCGCGAAATTGAGGAATTTTGCCCATATTTCGGGGCATTCCTCCCGCAGGAACTCCTCTAAGAGGGAACCCATTGCGACGCTTGTGCCTTTGGGGCTTGCGCCCCGCCGGCGTGTGTTTTTCTAAATAGGCCTCCCCACCTTGCGGCAGGGAGGTGTGTGCCTAAAATTGACCTTTAATCGCCTGCGCTTTAGGTGCGCTAGGGTGAGTACCTAGCTGTCGCCTAATGCAACAAGCACACAGATAAAAATTACAATGCCGCCTCTGAGACGAGAAATGTGTGTAGAATTCTACTTACGGACAGGAACCTGCCTACGAGCACAACACTACACTAACACTATCCGCTCGGAAGTCGGGCAAAGTTTCTTCTTTCTTCTGTAACGATTCTTCTATCTTCTATAATTATTCTTCACTCTTCTTGCTTGAGACTTCCCTAACCGTAGACCGCGAAACACGACAACGATGAGGCAAGCAGTGCACACCGAGATGTAAAGGAAATAATATATATAGCAACAACGGTTGCAAAATGGCTTCCGGGTCGGTTGGCATGGGCCCTCCGGCTCAGATTAACGTCCGTTCCGTGTGGAAGCACGAAGCGAATGTGAAACCCATTATTCAGGAATAATTCAAAGATACCATTGGCCTTACATATATTTTCTGTGATTATGGCTATGGCGCCTGGTGTCTTGAAGGTTGGCAGAGTACAGGGCGATGAACGCTTTCTTTTTGGGATGCATTAAATCCATAAATTTCAGCCTTTGCTATTTTAAAAAAAACGGCGAACAAAAGGTAAATATTAAAATCGTTCGATAGGCACTTGAGACCTGTCTAAAAAACGTTTGACCTTAATCTCCTGCCCTGGAACTTCGTTCGATAGGCTTCGAAATCAATGCTTGCTAATAAAATCTGTTGCTGACTTTTTAAACTCTGCATATATATAGCATACAGCACAGAACTATTTCACGTAATATAATTATTAAAGTAAGGTTCACATTTACATTTATAGCTCGAAATATTTGGTGAAAATATATTCAACATTCATCAAAAATTATGTACATAAAATCAGAAAGCAAACAGGAGTTACATTGGTTCATTTCTATAACTGCAGAGAAAACGAATATGTATTTAAAGTGTATGTCTAGCCCAACTGATACTTTCTTGAATGCAGTGTTATTAACAAAATAATTAAGTCGCAATAGATTTCTCACATATAACTAAATAGTATTTGAATATTAGCATTAATCAGTGCGAGGGCCTAATGTCCCAAACAGTCAATGTAATTTGACAGGCGTAGCGTTCACGTAACACGTACCGAAATAATACACCGATCGCATATTCACCAAGGAGACCAATTCGATTATATAATGCTATTAGTGTCCAACAACGATGGACATATGGGTTCGTATATGAATGATATAATACCGACACACTGTCAGATTTGCGGGTCGATGTTACGTAAAAGATATCTAAACTATACCGTAGTAATATACTTATAATGTACACAGCGACCAGATTATATACTTAGGTCTCGTTTGTGGTATTTAACTGTATCTAAACTTAATCTAGGTGTGTTTGAGTTTTCAGATCCATGCAACCTCAATATCTGTCCAAACATCTCGCTTTCTGTAAAATAGTTTTATTCATAAAAATATTTGCAGAGCTAACAAATACGAACTAAATAACGATTTGATATACATATAGTATATATAAATCATTTATGTTCTTGGGTGCTTCTGATGTGGAATTTTCAATAAAATATTTAAACTTTAAAAAATTATGACTCATAAATTTAATACTTTTATTTAAAAAGACGGAAAACTTTCCAACAACAAACGTGATTCTTAACCTTCACCCTGCTCTTAAATAAAAGCCGCAATTCTTGAAACGTTTCAGAGGATTTTTTTTTCTTTCACTTCTAATAAGCTTTGTAATTTAACATTAAACGTAACATTACGAAATTTATGGTACTACTAGTATGGGACTTTGATAAACTATCTCGCGTTTAGCGTTCGAAACCAGGTTGTTAGAAATTCGTTACTTAGGTGGTTTTAAGTTTCTTATTTAATTTCTTAGGTTCATCCATGCTGCATAGTTTTTTTTCTGGTCAATAGTGATTGATGTGTAATGAGCACAATGAGATGTTACAGGATAAAAAGTACATTATTCCAACGGAAAAAGTTAAACTCTTAGCTTACATAAAAGTTATTCAGTCACATTTGTACTTACGTACGAGTACGAGTACCTACTAATATTGCAAAGTGATATGGAGACCGTAAGGCTTCTTTATTTTATTAAATCATGATTCCTATCCGTCTATAAATATACGATTTAAAAACTAGAATCACATAAATCGAAATATATAGATAGACCTATATGCAAATTTAATACAATAAATTGTGTAAAAACTAATTCACAAACCATGTATCAAACATATTTATGTGACAAACGCTATCATGGCGACGAATCGCAAAAATCACACGTAGTTTTTTAATGATAATGTTTTGTTCGCAACAATCGACCTGTGGTTCCATAACCATCTACACCATTACGCAAACAGCCAGTTGATTCTATTTTTAGACTTAAGCACAATGCACCAGCCGCCTTGAGTCCCTTTGTTCCGTAAGTAGCGACTAATATAACTTTCAGTCGTTTCTATGATGCAGTGATGTTCGATGAAACTCGTTACGTAGTCAGTATAATAATTATGGAAGTGATAATTTTACATAAACAGATATGATTGGTTAATTTAAAAAAAAATTAACAACCTATAAAATCTATTTCAGATTTTCAAATTATTTTTCAATCAAAACTTTGATTATCATATGTTGTTAATGCGGACATTTACAAAACTTTATTCTTGTTTAAATAAATCCTTACTACCTATTACAAAGTTACTATACTGTAAACATCGCATATTCATTTGGGCATAATGCTAATCGAGTTTATTTTTATTTTCTGCGAAGGTTTAATTTGCTTCTTCTAAAATCTATAATCCGTAGAATCAGAGAAATGAGGGAGACTGCAAGAAAAAATAATTATAAAATGGTCTTAGAAATTAACTGGTATTTAAAAAATAACATTTACCAGAGATCCTCTGAAAACTTTGTAGCAGACGAAATAAAAAACTATATTTTTAGTACGAGTTTATTTTTATACACTTTCAAATTCTAGGTAGACTTTCATTCTAAACAGTCTTTGGGATTTTACTCGAAAGCGGAACATTCCTTATAAGGTTTACTTTTATCTCAAAGGCTACTGATGTCAAAGCTTTTAGAGTGCTTCTCAGTGAGTCTAAAATAGATGTTGATATTAGACATATTCTTATATAGGTGTGTAATTTTGTTGCTTTAATTTTTACAGGTTTATTCTAGTAAAAAATGCACTTAATCATGATACGTATTTGATGTAATTGTTCATAAACAGTCGAGAACAGAGTTTACCTATAACAAATAGAGGTTTAAGTTTGAGTGCGTGTTGGTTCTCCCTAGTGGCACTGTAATGGCTTAATATGGTTTGAATAAACATATTTTACCATGTTTTAATTTGATTTTTAAATTTCCGACATTTCAAACCCTTTCCAGCGTTCATGGTCCTGGGTCAGACTGAGTTGTTTCACGTCCTAATGTCAGGGTTAACCTCGCGCTATCTTCAATTATTTTATTATTTATTTTTATTCCGATCACACAAAAGGAGCTTATGTTATCTTGACGTCTAGCAGTGTTGGTGTGCTTGGATGTTTGGATGTGATCCCAACGTTACTAGAGTTTGAGGGAGGCTATGCTCCACTCCATAGCATTTTGGCAAGTTGCAAGTCTATTTGTCATTTCTCGAGTTAAAGTTCAAGATTGGCAGCCATACATGAGGACGGGTTGTATGCAGGTGTTAAATAGTTTACTCTTGATACTTATATGTAGTTGTTTGTCTCATTCTGATTATTAAGAAGGTCATTCTGATCAATTCAGAGAGTTTAACCATCCTTTTGGCAACTTAAATAATATTTCAAAAGCCATTTGACAGCTGATTAGTTAACTTCTACGATGATCATTGTTTCAGAAACCGGGCGTAGGTCTTTCAAACATATAAATTAAACAGGATTATTTGCAGTGCACGATTATTATTTCAGATACATATTTATTGTGACATATTTCGTATAAACATTGTAGCACATAATATGTACATATATTGATACTTTACTCTTGTGAGGCTTAGGCAAATGGGATTATCCAATCTAGGAAATACTATGAAATCATGATGCATTGTTTTTTGTATTTCCTTACGTAAATAGTAAGTTTGGCTTACAAGGTATTTAGTAGAGATGATTTTAAAAGTTAGAAGTCATACTTCAAATTTTTGTCGCTCTCTGGAGGTTTTGTAATCAAAACAAAAGTAATGTTCACTTAAAACGTTCAAGAGCAAAGGTATTTGCGTCTGCCATAAACCTTAACGACTTGACTATATTCGTATCAGGTCTTGTATCTGTAATTTCGATCTTTTTGAACAGAGACAAAGGCGACCTAATTGCTGATGTAGACCTCGTATCCAGTGCCTATGTCTGTATGTTCTTTTAATTTACATTCAGTGACTCTTTGTGTAGTTTTTCCAACGCTCCAAGGACACGAAGGTTCTATAAATATTGACGAATTTAAAGCATTTGCGTAGTACAGTTTTTAAACGCTAAGAGTAGAGTTTGAAGTGAATTCACCACAATGATTGGCAAGCTGGTGAGTAACTAGGTCTACGTTTTCACATTATTGTGTGGACTTTATAGGAGTATTGAAGATTGGTTTTTTGTGACCATTCAAGAGTTTATAAATACAAAAGCTGTTCTTAGCACCGACCTAGGCTTTAAGCATAAATGTGAGAATCTCTTAGATTTTCTAAAAATGCAAAATTACTTTTAAATAGTTTACCGCTTAGCTCTGTTGGCTGTAGGGTCAGAGCGCGTTACCAGGAAGACGCAGATTCCAATCCCGCAGTGCTGAAAAATATTCGACAATTTATCTATTTTACTCACTTATAAATTTCACCTTGACTTCAGATTAGCACCAAAGGGAAAAATAATCTTGGATTTCAAGTACTCGTTTGTTCAAGTATATATGTAAATACGATAATCGTAAAGAAATCTTGTTTAAATATGTGGGTTGTCTTGATACATTATTCATTTTATAAACTTGCAAGTATCCGTGCAACTTTTAATAACTGTTGTGGAGTTGTATGAATAATTGAAATAATTTAAATAATTGCAAGGAAAATGTAAGTGTGTATAAACGGAAATATTCATAGCTCTATGGTTTATTACAACACTACCTGTATAATAATATAAGGGCAAGGGATCAAGGCACCGTTTAGGAAAAAAGGTTTCTAATAAGTCAAATGACTCTTTTTTGTTTACTATTAGTTTCGATATCTGTACAAGCCTGCAAACATGATTCAATGCGATAGTTTTGTGAAATGTTGAAGAAAGCTTTTTGACCATAAACCATACGATTTAAAATAGTATATTAATTGTCCTTAATGTTATTATGTTTCAGATTGTAATGTTCGCCATCCTGGCGTTGGCATTCGCGAGACCTCAGCTTTATTCGGGTTACGGCTACAGTGGGTACTCTGGCAGCTATCCTGGATACTACGGATATTCCGGTTACGCGAATCCTTACTCGTATGGCAGTTATGGAGCCTATGGTGCTGCACCATACAGCAACTTCGGTTATGGATACTATTGATTCAAGACAATCAACACAATTTAATTGGCATCGTTAACTGGGTCTTTTTATTTGAATAAAATTTGATTTTGAAAAGAATATTGTTTTTTTGATATATAATAGATAATTTGTTTTTTTTTATTTATTAAGGGCTCTATGAAATATCTTTGAACTTGCTAGTACTAGTATGAGTCGTAATTGTGATTTTCTTAGAATTATTAAGTTACTGGTTTATTTTTTGAGAATGAGAAACTTGAATACGCTTGTTAAAAAAAACCTGGGCAAACTTACATCAATAGAAAACTTTCACAGATGTGTTGTAATAAATTAAAAAAGGATTCTCCAGAAAATCTATACCAGGGCGAGTTATTGTGTTCTCAGCAAGTAATCAATCTTAGTTTCCTGTGTTCGGGTATGCGATACATTGCGAGGTGAACGATCTTAGGAAGGACAATGTATACTATTTTTCACTTCTAACAATAACTTTTAATGTTACGAAATAACAGCTAAGAATCGATCGTTGAAAAGAAACACTAAGTACCTTTCTTGTTATGAAAATAAGATTTTACAAAACCTTCGCAAATACGTATTTGTTTTACTTTTTACAATAGAGATATCCTGTATCAATCTATGTGCGAGTCATTTGAGGGATACCAGAAGGATGACAATTTGCCTTTTTTTATTATTTTGCCAGTCATTCATTTATTTTAATAAGACGGTACAAGAAGTTCACTTACATTATTTAATAGAAATGACAGAATATAGGTAGTTACAATTTTTTTTTGTATGAATAACGCTGTTGCAGTTGGTAGATACGAATTAAATTGATTGTGTTGTAAAGAATTACACAGAAATCAAAGAAATACTGAAAAATCCTTTATGTTGGGTTAATTTTTATATAAGTTGTTCAATGTTCGTGATATACTATATTTTAATTTTGAAATATGATGAAATCTGATAGCCAAATATTTTTCTGGGACTGATTTTGTATTCCCCTGAGAAATAGTGCTCGATTTCTAAATTTAAATTTTTTCTAATATTAGTTATTGTGTACGAATGTTATTGGATGTATTCCAATGGACTTCACCTTGCCATAATTTTTATCCAATCAATGTCCCACGGTTGACTTACTGCAGGAAATCTATAAAAATAATCTTAAACATTAATTGTAAATAATTACAAGGAACACAATAAAATGGATTACCCGATATTTCAAAAAATTATCCATTTATTTTTTGACAACTCATATGCATCTGATATGGTTATATGTTCCGAGAGTAATGATATAAAATGTCAAAAATATAATAAATTATCCACTTAAATTACTGTGTTATGTTACTCCTCGACACTTTCTAGGATTTAGTATTACTTTTACACAGTTTCACATAACATGATGATATTTTTTTTTATTACTTGAGGTAAACAGTACATACATAAACGCCGTAGTGTCACGTAATGGCTTGGTCGGCTTATTATGTTGTAAATATGTGCTTGAGTCATGTAAGTACATACAAGCGGTGCGTCTTACTTAGTATTCTTCACTTTTCGGCGTGCTATCAGTCTTTAGTCTTTGTACTTAAGTATAATATACATAAGATTAATTTATCTAGCTAAAACTATTCGAACAGCCTATGTATTTATTGATGAGGAATAAAATTAGTCAATAATAAGAAAATTTTTGCACCAAATAGTAGTGCAGTCATGTGGTCGATTATGCACATCGCTAGCTGAGGAAATTTTGTCACGCGTTTTTAACGGTACCTCTAGGAAAAAATCGTTTGATTTTATCTATATAAAATTGACTATTTAACTCGCATACAGGTGCACGAGTTTATTAAATTAAAAGCCAGTGTCCAGACCCCGAGCTATCACGGCTTACATCAAATCCTGGTGCTAACACCAATAAAATTGTCAATTATCACGTGCTCAGTGGTAAAGGCAAACATCGTGAGGAAACCTGACTGTAACTTAACTTAATTTTAGGGTTCCATACTCAAAGGGTAAAACGGGACCCTATTACTAAGACCCCGCTGTCTGTCTCTCTGTCTGTCTGTCACCAGGCTATATCTCATGAGCCTTGAAAGTTAGTCTGTTGAAATTTACACAGATTATGTATTTCTGTTGCCACTATAACAACAAATACTAAGAAACAGAATAGAAAAATATTTAAGTGGGGCTCCCATACAACATAAATGATTCTTTTGCCGTTTTTATAGATAATGGTACGGAACCCTTCGTGCTTGGTCCGACTCGCACTTGGCCGGTTTTTACTTTTTTATCTAATTATGCTCGAGGGTCAATCCCCCCGGAAAAACTTCTACCACTACACGTGATATCTCCTACATACATACACAGCTTACGCGTCAAGATCAATTTGTGGCTAAGTTCTATTTTTCCTGTTTTATATTTACTCATGTGGTATACGACAATGTTACACTTATATGTATCAATACACGAGAGGAAAATAACAGACAAGAAATTATTTTTTCTTTTAATATGCACCTGAAAGATGAATAATTTATCTATACATATATATATATATATATATATATATATATATATATATATATATATATATATATATATATATATATGTGTATATATGTGTAGATATATATATACACCTTTTACAGTCAGGTTTTCCTAATATTCAATCTGTAGATCGAATATTGAAACCGGCAAGAAACCGGAAAGAGATTTTCTTTACTGGAGATAGAATTTTTACGTTATTTTTATGGAGCTAATGTCAAATACCTATATCTAATAAAATCTTTCGGCTGTTAGTCTGGACTTGTATGCCCGGATTGTTTTTTTTTATATCTGTTCCCAAATTTACTTATCTGAAAAATTTAAGGGCACGATTTGGCGTATTTTTTTGATAAAAACATTGTTTCTTAAATGGATATATGGTGTTCTAACCCTACTCTCTCTACCCACTATCGTCCTATTTCTATTCTGCCCTTCCTGCCTAAAGTAATTGAGTCCTGTGTCCATAAACAACTATCCTGTTTTGTTTTTAGAAACAACTTGTTAAGTCCTTTCCAATCCGTATTTAGACCTGGTCATAGTACCACCACCGCTCTCCTTAAAGTGACTGGCGATATTAGGGTGGGCATGGAGGGATCAAAGGTTACCGTCATGGTTCTTATTGATTTTTCTAACGCCTTCAATACCGTCATTCACGATATCCTGTTAGCCATCCTCTCCCATATAATGGTTTCTGACGAAGCACTGGAATGGTTTTCCTCCTATCTTCGAGGGCGCCAGCAGGCAGTCAATAATGGTGATTCCTCATCACGTTGGCTTAGTCTGATCAATGGTGTTCCTCAAGGCGGTATTCTATCCCCTCTGTTATTCTCCGTTTTTATAAACTTTATCACTCATAATCTTCGCTGTGCGTATCATCTTTATGCCGATGACCTGCAGCTGTATGCTCAGGCATCAATCGATACTCATAATGAGGCTATTCTTAAGCTCAATGAAGATTTAGTTGCCATTAAGACCTGGTCGGATAAGTTTGGACTAACTGTAAATCCGACCAAATGTCAAGCCATAATAGTTGGGAGTTCCCGTACTGTTAGTAGAGTAAATTTAGTTAGCCTTCCACCGATTATTTTTGATAGCTCCCCCATCCCACTACAAAATAAGGTTAATAATTTAGGTTTGCTCATTGACGGGACGTTTTGTTGGAGAGATCAAATAGCTAGTGTCAGCCAAAAAGTAACTAATGTCTTGCGCTGTCTTTACCGTCTCAAGAATTTCCTGCCGTTGAAAACCAAAGTAACGCTCGTACAGTCCTTAATTTTTCCTTTAATCGACTATGGTGACGTGTGCTACTTCGACCTGAATGCAGATCATCTCAATAAACTCGACCGACTTCTGAATAACTGCATTCGATTCGTTTTTAATCTCCGCAAATATGACCATGTATCGTCTTATCGTTCACAGCTAAACTGGTTAACAATACGACAACGACGCTCTTTAAGAGCCTTGACCACACTTTTTTCTTACCTTGATTCCCCATTTACGACCCTAAAGGGAGCGTTCCGTCCATTCCTTACTCTAATAGATTTAGCCATTTAAATGTGAGTTTAATAGAAAGAATGGTTGCAAAGTTTTTCGAAAGTGCCAGGTTTCGAACCTGTGACTTTTGGGTAGCACGCCAGAGCCTCCACAAATCTAGGGCATTTCCTCCAATACAGATTGAACAGAATTTCTTTGCTTGTTAAGGATCTTGAATACGGTGCAATGATTATTTTTTTCATATTTTAGTACTTTCTTTATTTTTTTATGGTGGTAGGGTCATGGAACAGTCTACACTGTTGCACGAATATGCTGGTTCGTGCGGGGAACTATTGTGAACTCACATAAGATCGGCATGAAGAGTTAAAATGTGTATACTAACACATCTAAGACAAACCTTCATATTTATATTAATTATAATCCTCCATATCGTAACGACCTAAAATAGATGTCTCATCCCCTTCAAACTGCCAAATTAAAATGCTCACACTCTCACGATACTGTACAAACAACGTAAAAAGTTTTGGTATGGCTTTGATTCACGTATTCAAGAAATGTCTTTAAATGTGATAAGATGTACCTGTTTTTGTTTTTTCGATAATATCTTCATCATCGTTGGCTTTCAGCAATCCACTGTTATACATAGATCACTGCCTATGAAAATAATATATTTCATAAGGTATATAAAATATGAAAATGCAAAGATGTGCAAAAATTACGACATTTTATCACCGCAAGCTTAGTCTTAAGCTAGGTCACGTGTTGACTTTTATTATACAATAAAAACCAAGCTTTTGTAATGAAGTATTTTTTGTAGAAATTTATTTTCATTTTAACGAAACAGGAAAATGATGGAAAAAAAAAATAATGTAGCACTCACGCACAAAAAAAAAAGACTGTGAAATCGAATCCTTCGCAAGCATCACATAAACATCAAGAATGTAACGTATACCGCCTAATGCGGATATTGATTTTATGTATGTATTTCAATAGAT